CAGCCTTTGTGTTTAACATAGTATTTTATTTAAAAATGAAGCCTGGCCAACAAACCCCCAATTGGGGCTAACCCCCCATCTGGCTACAACCACTCCTGCATTGCTCCTTCCCCAGACCCTAGATCTGAGCCTATCAAACACTGGAACCTCCTGCTCTGAGCCCCTCACATACACCAACCCAAATTCCTGCACCCTCACATCCATAAGCCTGTGGCTTGCTTAGTATCCCAACACTGCCCAGCCTGGAGCTCCCTCTCCGAGCCAGTGTCCCCTTCTCCACCTCCTCCTGCATCCAGATTTCCTCCCAGAGCTTGCACCTCTCACCCCTTCCCACACCCAAATCCCTCATTCCCACTCCAGAGACTACACATCCTGACTCAACACAGCAAGGGTCCAGCTAGACTGCAGGAGTTTTTCAGGATTCTGGAGATATCCCAGAAAAAACTCTTCTGCAGCCAGGGTTGCATTTGTTCTTCCACTTTTTTAGTGGAAGAGTAAACAGCCTCTTTTGGTCACCCCTATATTCCTCTTTCCACAAGGAACAAGGTGGCTTCCAAAACAAGGGGTTTTTTTCTGACATTTGGTCCAGTCTAGACAGGCCAAATGTTGGAAAAACCTCTTCCTACAGAAGAATTCTATTTTTTTTTAAAGCAGCAGTATAAGGATTGGGGATAGCAAGTGATGGAGAGGAGAATAGAGAGGGCGGGGCGGTAGATCTTGGCTTGGTCTGTGATTTAAAAAGTGATCTTGGGTGTAAAAAGGTTGGAGACCACTGCCCTAACACATTGGTTCTCAAACTTTTTGGCCCATGGCCCACCTGGCTCAATGCAAACCTTTCCATGGACCACAAGTTGCTAATGGAAGCTCACCGTTAATTACACAATTATGCCTGAGTCATTTTGCTAGTGCTGCAGCTAGAGAGAACGGTTTAACCAGTGAGAAAGGAAAGCATAATTTAAATGATTAAACAGACTAAACATTTTAACTTCCTCATGTTAGTTTATCAAACTTCATTTAAAATAAAGTAAAATATTATGTCCAACACAAAAGGTTTCAATGTTTTCTTTATTTATGGCAGAGGTGGGGAACCTTTTTGGGTCAGGGACCATTGACCCACAGAAAAATCAGTTAGAGACCATAAAAAAAAAAAAAAAAAAAAAAAACCACCTCCCCAAACTCCTAACCCTCACTGATGTGGCCCCAACTAAGACACTTCACTCCCCGGAGCTTCAGCCCCACCAGGGAGGACTGCGGTTATAATGAGGAGGCGAGGATGGAAGCTCAGAAAGTATGGGTAAGATCAAGTGAGAAACAATCAAATGAAAAAGCATTTAACACATCTGGAAGTGGCAGACAGATACATAGTGACACTTTTTCAAGTGCTTATACACAAAGGCCAGAAGTCTAAATAATAAGATGGATGAACTAGAGTGCCTCATATCGAAGTCCATTGTGGCTCACAGCTGTCTTACTGGCCAGGCAAGGCTGACTGAGGCTAGCCTTGTAGGACTGAACCCAGAGTTCTAATGGCAGGATGATCCCTTCTTATACCTAAAAAACCAAAAATGGTCTGGTAGCATTTTAGAGACTAACAAAACATGTAGATGGTATCATGAGCTTTCATGGGCTTCCATTGGAGTCTGTGGGTTTTGCGTGTCATGCTGCCATCATCCATCCTTAAGGGTATGTCTACACTACAGCGCTAATTCAAACTAACTTAGTTCGAATTAGTTAATTTGAACTAAGCTAATTCGAACTAGCGCAGCTAGACTTAAAAACTAGTTCGAACTAGCGTTTTACTAATTCGAACTAGCGCGTCCACACTGATTGGACGCAGGGGGGCATTTAAGGGCAGCTGAAACCGGTTCTGGCAGGGCATCAGGTCAGTAGTTGCTTTGTGTGGCTGCTGTCTGAGGCTATCTGAGGCTCGTGCTTAAAGGGACCCCCCTGGACAGCAGGTTCTCAGCTTTTCCTGCTTGCTTGCCAACCTCGCCGAGGGACAGCAAAGCGTTTTTCTCTGCGCCCGTGTGTGTCGGTGCTTCCCTTCGGGTACGCTGCCACAGGTGGCAATATGGAGCCAAAGCTCCCCCTTCACTTTCTGGTGCAGTTTCTGGACTTGCTGCTGCAAGCCTGCCAGCTATGGGTGGAGGCTGCCATGCAGCACCTGGTGCACATCAGCTCCCTGCCTCTCCGCCTGGCCACCCTGGGGGCCATAGTGCAGATGCGGTGCTCTCTGAGGCTGGTGCTTAAAGGGACCCCCCGGACAGCCGGTTCTCAGCTTTTCCGCTTCCTTGCCAACCTCGCGGAGGGACAGCAAAGCGTTTTTCTCTGCGCCCGTGTGTGTCGGTGCTTCCCTTCGGGTACGCTGCCACAGGTGGCAATATGGAGCCAAAGCTCCCCCTTCACTTTCTGGTGCAGTTTCTGGACTTGCTGCTGCAAGCCTGCCAGCTATGGGTGGAGGCTGCCGTGCACCACCTGCGGCTCCTGTACATTTCAAAGGGAGAGACTCATGGTTCCACAGGTGGCTGACGTGCCCCGCCGCATCTGGCGTCTGGACACCAGCAGCGACTGGTGGGACCGCATCGTCCTGGAGCGCTGGGGAGACAGACAGTGGACCCAGAACTTCAGGATGAGGAGGGACACCTTCCTGGAGCTCTGTGAGCAGCTCGCCCCTGCTCTGCGCAAAAGGGACACTCGAATGAGGCCCGCCATCCCCCTCCAGAAGCGTGTGGCCATCGCCCTCTGGAAGCTCTCCACGCCGGACAGCTACCGATCCATTGGGAACCAGTTCGGCGTGGGGAGATCCACCGTCGGAGCAGTGCTCATGCAGGTACAGCACTCGCCGGCCACTGGGCCGGGGATGACGGGGGGCTGCAAGGAGGGGATAGGGCCGCCCCAGGGAAAAACGAGGGTTGGTGGGGAAGGAGGCAAAAGTGCCCCACACCGGAGGAGCCGGTCTCTCCCAGCCGTACTACACGCCACCCGGGGGGGGTTGCTTCCGGGAGTGGAGCACGTGCCAGGGCACGAACACTCCCAGCCACCCGGGTGCCCCACTGATTCATGCTTTGCTGTGTCTCTTCGCAGGTGTGCTGCTCCACAGGGTGGTCCACCTCGCTGACCCGGACGCCGTCATCCGGGGGTTCGGCGCCCTCGGCTTCCCCAACTGCGGCGGGGCCATCGACGGGACGCACATCCCCATCCGTGCCCCAGAACACCAGGCCTCCCAGTATGTGAACTGCAAGGGGTACTTCTCCGTGATCCTGCAGGCCGTGTGTGACCACCGGGGCCAGTTCACGGACATTAATGTGGGCTGGTCCGGCAAGGCACACGACACCAGGGTGTTCTGCAACTCCTCCGTGTGCCAGAGGCTGCAGGCTGGGACCTTCTTTCCCGACCGCCACATCAGGGTCGGG